AGTGTCTTGCGAGTTCCTTGAAGGTGTGGAGAGTCTCTTCTAAAAGAAAGTAGAACCACATGCGAGCCTGACCTTTCAGAGTGCTAGAGACACTTGATAAAGAAGCTCGTCAGAAGCCCGTTGGATGTGCATGATGCTTCGATAATAGTCGATATAGTTGTAAGGATCACATATCTCGTCATAGAGTCAATATTAGGAAACTCTAAGCCTGTTGGGATGAGGTGTTGAAGGATTTTCTAGGCCAAGGTCCAAGATTCTTGCAAATTACAACGATCAGAGAAATGATCCCTATCCTTTAAAGGGGACTCTTCTCAGACTAGGCACCGCAACTCATCACGGATTATATTATTGGGAGCATTAGTAAGGCATGGTTGAGCCAAGTTTCTTGTATGTGTTGGAGGGTTATCGATTGGTCTATTCTTGTATGTGTTGGAACTCACTAGTTACATGCCAGACATAAAAGTACTTTTCTTAGAAAAAGATATTCAACATAGGTGGGTGAGTTACTTTGATAAACTTTTTAATGAAGTTTCTGAAAATACGATCGAACTTAGTGATTTTAATATCGTAAATAATAATAAAACGTTTCATTTTTACCGTCGCATTAGCAAAAAAGAAGTTGAGGAGGCTTTAAAGAAAACCAAGGGTGGAAAGTCTGTAGGACCTGATGATATCCCAATTGAAGTGTGGAAATATTTGGGAGATTTGGGAGTTTCTTGGCTTACTAAACTCTTTAATATTATTTTAAAAACTAAAAAGATGCCTGAGGAGTGGAGGAAGAGTATTTTGATCCCATTTTTAAGAATAAAGGGGATGCACAAGAGTGTGCAAATTATAGAGGAATTAAGTTGATGTGTCATACTTTAAAATTATGGGAGAGGGTAATTGAACATAGGTTAAGATGCATCACGAAAATTTCTCATAATCAATTTGGATTTATGCCTGGCAGGTCTACTATGGAAGCTATACATTTATTGAGAGGTTTGATGGAGAAGTTCAGAGATAATAAGGAGAATCTACATTTGATTTTTATTGATTTAGAAAAAGCTTACGATAAGGTTC